CCCTCCGCATGCCCCAGCCAAGGGAGCGGGGTGGGGTGAGGGGCAGAGAAAGCCAGGTGGAAACTTGCACCTTGTCCAGACTGTCTCCCACCGGGTGCGGCGAGCACTCCGCGCGCTGGACGCGGCGGGCAGCTCCCTCTGGGAGAAGGAAGAATGGGAGGGTGGGCTCGTGGTGTTCTGCCCTACTGTCTTCATGTGCCCAGCACTCTTGCCTCCACCTGGGGGTCTTAAGGAAGTAGTCTTTCTGCAGGTCAAGGATGTCTTTTCCATGTCCGGCCAACGCTACCCAGAGGGGGGACTCTCCAGTGGGGGAATCTCTTAGCAAACTTTCGATCGAGCTACAGAGCCCGGCGGTGCCATTCCCGTCCACGGTGAGTGAATTACAAAGCCGACAGACTTTCTGCGCTACTGCCTCTTGGCTTTGGGTCAAGATGCCACCCAGGGCCTTAGTGACTATTCTGTTGTCATTGACAACGTAATTTAAAAGTTCTTGGGCAGGTGCCCTAAACTTGAGTGGAATCTCTTTCACTTCACTCAGCACCATCACATCGGTCAGTAGCCATTTCAGTATTACTGGTTCTCTCCTCTTAGAGGCCCCCGTTCTACATTGCTCTGGTCTGTATCTTCTTCAGCTAACACTGGGGCAACATAGCTCTTTTATGTCTGCTACAGGGTACTGTGGGTGTCTTCAGATCACCACCATGTGAAACGCGGACCACGGTCACGGATGAGGACTTGGGAACACCTGGGCCACTATTTCTTCATTCGTGAAATGGGGAAATAGGAAGAGGCTGGATTATAACTCTTCAGGGCTCTTCCAGCTCTCCATTCTTACGATTCTATGACGGTTACAAAATACCAGGTGATTTCTGTTAGATGTCAATTAAATCCCAAAGTATCTAGTGAAGGTGAAGATTTCTGTTTCCACACTTACTTGTGGACAAGAACAACTATCAGTAGTCTTTCTATTCTCCTCAGAAGAACAAATCTGTAAGCATTCCACTTCCTGTTCCTACCCATTTATCCCAGTCACCTCCAGCTTTTCCAGAGTGACAAGTGGTTACAAGTCTTCCCTGCCCGCTCTCCTTAAAGGGACCAGCTACTTGCACCAAGTGTGCTAACACTTCTAAGTGGTGAAAACAAATCTATCTCCTACACAAGAAGTTGTTTGTATAGCTCTTCAGGCGTCTTAATGAAATGGAAACAAAATAACAGATGTTTCACATATAGAAAATAGCAAGTAAAATCGGCTTCCAAGCCAAGCTCAGTGAAGTCACCGGAATGTTTAGATTAAATTACCATAAAGCCAACAAGCATAAACATGAACGTTGGCTTTTCAAGTGATTAAACCTCTGGGAGCAAATGGAAAATCCAAACAAAAAGCACCAAGCCTTGTTTACACAAACGCCTATTCACCCTTCAAAAGTCCTGAGTCAAGTGTTTCCTCCAAGTCAGTTTCAATATTTCTTCCAGGCAGATTTGTAAGTGCATTTTCTAATCTGCCTTTGCATTTGAGTAGTGAGAATGTTGTTTTTTATTTGTATGTTTCTCCATGACTGTTAGCTCTGAAACAGGGACTGTCTTTTCACTTTGCATCCCAAGGTAAGCCTCACATATTGCAAAGGCTCAATAAATATCTGATACTTTTTTAAAAGTATATATATTACTCCCCTAGGAGACAGCCATAGACAGAGAGATAGATAAAGACAGGCACCCCCCCCTCCAACAGGATCTCATGCCATGACACACCCCCAGCCTCAGCCAGCCTGGGTCACAGGTGCACACATCTGACATACAGCTCAGGGAACTCCCAGCACACAAACCCAGGACCTTTCCCATGTGGACCCAGTTGCATTACCACTGCACCACCTCCTGGCCCCTGCCAGATACTTTTTATTTATTTTTTTGAATTATTTAATTTTATTTATTAGAAAGTTATTTAATTAATTTATTTATTTATTAAGTTTGACCAGAGAGGGACAGAGAGAGAATAAGAGAAGAGGAAAAGTGAGAAAGCAAGCCTCCAAGTCTAGAACTCAAACTGCAGTCGGCCATGTGGGAGTCCAGTGCCCCTAACCACCATGCCACCTGCTGGCCCCTTAAAGAGAATCATTTATTTACCTACTTTAATTGGACCAGAGAGAGACAAACAGAAGGATGGAAGAGAGAGTGAGAGTGAGGAAGCAAGCTGCCGCCATCTGCTAGCACCAAATAAAAATGTTCTGAGAGATTTTTGCTATAGGGCATTATGTGTTCTCCAGAGCGAAGCAGACAGAAGGCGAGAAATCACTCCCCAGGGGGGATGGCCAAGCCATATTCCCTTCTCCACTCTCCCCCTTGGGATTTTGGGCACACATGCACATGCATCTGCTGTGTTTTAAGTCACTGGATCCAGGACTTGAACCACAGTCGAACATGTAGGAGTCCAACAATGTAATGTAACCATTATACCCCATGCTGGTCCCACCCCAAATAAACCTTTTTTTTTTTTTTAAGAATTATTTATTTAATTTTATTTATTTATTCATTTAATTTGACCAGAGAGAGGTGCAGAGAGAAAGAGAGAGGGAAAACAAGAAAGCAAGCCACCAGGTTCAGGACTTAAACCGTGGTTGGCCATGTGGGAGTGTCCAGCGTCTTAACCACCACGCCACCTGCTGGTCCTCCAAATAAACTTTTAAAAAGAGAGCTGGAATGAGGTATACCAAGAGAAAGAAAGCAGCAGCCCTTTATGGATCATCATTCCCTTTAGGCTAGCACCAACAAGAGCCATATTGCATTTGAAGAACTATGGCATCAATCTGAAAATGACTTACTCTGGATTGAGAATGTGGCCAGGAAGAAGTTAATTACCTTCCTCTTAATTTGCCCCTCACTGTTTGCCCTCAGTAATAATACCTGATTGCTTGGGCACTGACGTGTACGTGTGCTTCCCCGGTACAGCGCATGCGTCTGAGGGCAGATGAATAGGACCGTCTGCCTGGGAGGCAGCCATAGCATATAGCACTGAGGCTAGAATCCAAGAACCTCAGTTCCAATCCTGGCTCTGCCACCCGTAAGGTGTGTGTCAGGAAGGAAACTACTGAGGGACCAGCAGTTGGCATAATGGCTATGTTGCTGGACTCCCATGTAGTCAACCGCAGTTTGAGTCCCAGATCCGGTGGCTTAAAACTCACACTGGGCGCGTGTGCGTGCGTGCCCAAGATCCTGAGAGGAGAATGGAGGAGAAGGGATTGCGGCGTGGCCATCCCCCCTGGGGGGTGATTTCTTGCTTTCTGTCTCTGTCTCTCTGGCGAGCACATGCACTCTATAACAAAAACCTCTCCAAAAAAGAAAAGGAAGGAAACTACTAACTTTCCCTGGAAAAAGGAGGTTCCTCCACCTACCTCACTGGATGGCTGGGAGAATTAGGTGAGGAAGTATTTTCAAAACTACCTGCTCACCTGCTCACCTGGCTGGCATAGGCAGGGGATTACTGCTCTTTATCCTGGATTCCCACAGCACAGTTCCCTCTGGTAAACTTCTCAGTAAGCATCTATGGATTGAAGAAGGCTGGCAAAAGCAACTGCAGTTTCCTCGTTTTATCCCAAACTATTTGCAAAAGAAACGGTGGCCTAAGAAGCACAGTCACACCCTGAGCACATGGTTTCTACAAACAGTGAGCACAGCTGCTCTCCACAGGCAAGGCTTTGCTCTGGCGGACAACCATAACGATCCCTATCGATAGGAGCCAGAGTTCACACAAAGAACTGATTATATGGGGCTCGCCTTTGTGTATCGCTTTGCATTTTTTCAAAGTACTTACACATATATGTTTCTTTTGCTATTAATGCAAAAATTGGCTTATTTGCAGAGTCATGCCTACTTTTTTTTTTTATAAAAAAGATAGCTTTTTTGTTCCTTTTTTGAATTATTTATTATTTATTTTAATTTTACCACAGAGAGACAGAGGAAAAGCAAGAAAGCTAGTTGCCAAGCCCATGAACTTGAACCATGTGGTGAACCATGTGGTCTACCATGTGGGAGTCCAGTGCCTTAACCACCATGCTATCTGCCTGCCCCTAGTCACACCTACTTAAAAATAAGCATTTATAAGGACCAGCAGATGGCATAATATTTAAGTCACTAGACTCCCATGTAGCCGACCGTGGTTCCAGACCCAGACCCAGAAGACTGAAACTCATACCAGGTGCATGTACATGCGTGCTCAAGATCCAGAGAGAAGAATGGAGAAGGGATTGCCGTGTGGCCATCTCCCCTGGGGGGGGTGATTTCCCATTTTCTGTTTCTCTGTCTCTCTTTGTCACTCTGGCGAGCATACATGCCCTATAACAAAAATGTTTCTCTTTTTAAGAATTATTTTATTTTGGGACCAACAGTTAGAGTAATGGCTATGTCGCTGAACTCCCATGTATCCGACCACGGTTCGAGTCCCGGACCCGGTGGCTTAAACTCACACCAGGCACGTGTGCGTGAGTGCCCAAGATCCCAAGAGGAGAATGGAGAAGGGATTGTGGCGTGGCCATCCCCTCTGGGGGGGTGCTTTCTCGCTTTCTATCTCTCTGTCTTTCTGGTGAGCGCACGTGTTCTATAGCAAAAGCCTCTCCAAATACATATATATACATATACACACACACACACACATATATATATATAAATTTTATTTACTTATTTATTTTAATTT